TGACGTCGGAGCTAGGTGTAGGGAGTCTAGGACAATCCGTCGGAATTCTTACTAACTCAGATTTCCGTCCCGTATGTGAGTAGGTTTTTGCTTTTCTTACTTTTATTTTTGCAGGCCTAATCGATGTCAATCAAGATAGCCAGTCTGAATGCGAAGGGCTTGAGGGATCGGGGTAAGGCTGCCCGCCTGCTCCGGAATCTCTTGTATTTTGGCGTAGATGTTGCCGCGATCGAAGAGACCCACTTTGTTTGCAGCGTCGATGTGTGTGTGCTGCTTAACGACTTTGTTGTCTATTCAGCATATGGGGACCGGCATGCCAGAGGAGTTTCTTTGTTGGTGAAGCGTACTCTTGATGCGAAGGTGGGCCTTGTGCATACCGATGCCGAGGGTCGGTTGATCGTGGCCGATATTGCCGCGAAAAGTTGTTCGTTCCGAGTTGTTGCGGTTTATGCGCCCAACGATCGGGAGGAGCGGGTCTCGTTTTTTCGGTAGTTGGGGCCGTTCCTGGAGGATTCAACGCGCCTAGTCTTAATGGGGGACTGGAATGCCATCCTGGACCCCGAGTTAGATCGGGTGCGGGGTTCTAGCGGGTGTAGGGGCGATCTTAGCTTGGTTGATCTGATCAGCGATTTTGGTATCGTTGATAGATACCGGATCGATCACCCCCGGAGGGGGGTGGACATGGGCTCTTAGTTGGCTTTCTGACAAGGTGTTTACCTACCTTGACAGAATGTTAGTTAGAGGAGCTGAGGTAGACTTGATAGATTGTTCCACGTTCCACTGGGTACGCTATACGGACCACAAACTCGTTTGTACCCGCCTGGCGTTAGATCGTAGGCCTAGAATGGCTGGGTACTGGAAGTTCAATCTGTCTTTACTGGACAGGCGGGACTTCCAGGATCAGCTAACTAGCTTAGTGCAGCGGGAGCTAGTGGGGGTGGTTATCGGGAATAAGTGGTGGGATAGACTTAAGTGTAGGATTAGGTCTCTCACCACGGATTTCAGCAAACGGCCCGCGCTAGATAGAGCTGAGAAGGTGAAGACGCTTAAGGCTAGTCTTTCTCGAGCGGTGGCTGGGGAGATCCCCTAGAGATAACCTTAGCTAGGGAGGCCGTGGAGCGTTCGAATAGCGAGCGCTACATGGGCCAGGTAATTAGACATAGGTTAAGCAAGATGTCTTCCGAAGCTGTGAATATGGGCGCAGATTTGCGCAAGGAAGAGGTTCTGCCGCTGGATCAGTCTCCTGTATCGCTCCCCCAGTGCTGTGGTACAGGTGAACTGGGAGCTGTCGGGCGCTTTTGCGCTGTCTAGATGGGTTCGTCAGGGTTGTCCACTGTCGCCCCTACTTTATGCTTTGGCGTTGGAGCCGCCGGCTGAGGGACAGGGCGTGCAGTCCGGCCCTACGCGGAATCGCCGTTGCTGGTGAGGCTCGAGCCAGGGTTTCCGCTTACGCCGATGAAGTATCTGCTTTTGTGTCGTCCCGCAGCGACATTGAGGCAGTACTGAAAGCATTTGATCGGTACGAAAAAGTGACAGGGACCGAGATTAACCGCGACAAGTCGTCCGTCTTGCGGTTAGGTACCTGGAAGAGGGTCGATCTTCCAGGGGCCCTTCAGTTGGACAGACAGTCCTGTCCGCATTCTTGGAGTGTGGTTTGGACCCGACCTCCAGCTGGAGAAAAATTGGTCTGAAGTACGCGGCCGGTCAGACTTGGCGTCGACGGAGGTTGTCCGTGAAGGGCAGGGCGGAGCCGTGTGCCACTTACGTTTTCCCGATTGTCCTTTATCGATTGTCCATACTTCCTCTCTGCGACGACCATATGAAGCCGCTAGAGCGCTCGCCATCCTCCATTTTATGGAGGGGATGCGGGAATCAGGTCGACAGACGAGTCTGTGCACAACGTCCGTGTCATGGGGTCTGGGAATGCCACACTTGGCGAGCCACAAACTCGCCTCGAGGTTGACTTTCCTACGCCGTGCATTGACAGGAGATTCGATTATGGCGGGGATTGTTAGGGACGCGTTCCCTTTCCTTACTATCAGTCCCTCTATCTCGTGGGTTGAGCGCCATCGTAAACCCCGGGATCAATCGGATTTCCTTCGCGAGTGACAGTTAGCCTTGTTCCTCGGTCCAGTGACCTTTCTCGGCCTAGGAAGGTCTTCTATTGTCTTCTAGTGGAGGGGGTCGCGAAGGATTCTCTACGTGAGCGGCTCGACCTTGTCGGAGGAGGAGTTTCGCTCTTATTGGTCTTGGGCGCCAGCGGCGGATTATCTCAGTAACCCTGAGTTTTCGCTTACCTGGCGATTGGCTCTCAATGACAATATGAGGCTTGGCGGATCTGTTAGACTCTGAACGGTGTAACCTTGGTTTAGAAGAAATGGCTTCGCACGCCTACCATTGTGCCCGGGTCCACCCCTTATGGGGCCATGTCGGCGAGTCGACGGCTCGTTTCGCTCCCTTAAAGCTAGTGCTCATTGATCGCACATACGCGTGTGATATGTGTCGCCCCCGTATTCCGGGGTGAAACGAATGGCGTTTCTGACGCTGCTAGCCACGGCCCGAATGGTGATTTGGATTACACGACAGGGGGAAGTCTTGCGAGGCATCAATCTTTCTCATCAGGATTTGATCCGATTCTTTGAGCATCAGCTCAAGATAAAGATTAGAACTGAGAGAAAACGCCTGCATTCGACAGTCTTCAGTGAAAGGTGGGTGACTGAGGCGAGCTTGGTTCGTTTGAACGGGGCTAGCTTTGATTTTCTCTTTTAGGTCAGCCTACGTCACATCGGGGTGGTTTCCTGTGGAGCCTTCCTCTTGGTTAGGTTAGACAAGCTTTGTGTACCTAGTTAATGTGAGTAAATATTGTTCCTGGGCTGTTCCCGGCAGCCTCTTTGGTTATGATCCAAGTCGAGATTCCCAAACTCCCAAGTTTGTTTTCGACTGGGTCAGTTTTTTATTACCCTTGTCCGTCTATATTTTCACTTTTCCCACTCCCTTAGCGAGAGAGCTTCCTGATTTTGTCCACTGGGCAGAATACAGCGGCTTCTCATTTTGAGGGTTGGATGAACCCTACTAACATCAGTTATGTTTAGTTCACTTTGTGTCTATGTTTAGCTTGTTTTGGGGTTCATTCTCTCCCCTCTCATTTTTTCATCATAGAATTTTAACTATTTATTCTCATTAAATTTTTATGGCTTGTGGCGCTTTTTGTAGGACCCCCTTAAGAGGATGCGGTATTATGATGTATGGAGGATTGATTGGTGCTGGGCGAGTTTTTGTGGTGAATGGGCAAATTGTAATGAGTGAATGGGTCGTGAATCGGATTAGCTAGGTGTAAGAAGACCAGCCTCAACCCCTCCCCTTTTATCGCTCTTGTGCCTGAATTGTATTTTTTTATACAATAAATATCGTCAGACACTGAGTTTCGAGAGATACCAGCAGACCCGACGCGTGCCAACACGCTGACTCAATAACCACTACCAACCTCTCAACAACTCAACACAACTCGCACAACTATTGCTGCGTGAAGAAACTTAACTTACAATTTAGTAAAAAGTGACATTATCATTTAACATTACAAAACAGTAATTGTACATTCAATAAACTTTAACCTATTAGTTAAAGGTGAACAACTCTTCATGACTTAAATCAACACTAGCAGTTGTCACACACATACACACTATTATTTGAACTTACACAATTGACAATTTTCCTTGCAGATATCAAACAATTTTAATTCCACAAACAAACTTAAACTATCAAACTTTACTCACTAAATTTCTGCATGGACAATCTTTGTACCTTATCTCACTTGCCACATTTAACAAGCACTTTGTGTATGTTCACGTTATTGTTGAAATCTCTAATGACGTTGTTTTCAGTAATTTCTTGTAGTTGAATTATCTATTTATTTTTGTTTTATTTGTTGTGGATAAATGCATTACGATCACACACATTCTTGGCCTTCACAAAAAATCCCCTTCTGATATAATATACATGCATAGATTCCGCAACATGGTCATTTGACTCCTGGCTTTGAGATCGCAAATTCCGGTCGCCCCAATACAAGTGGCATTATCGAGATCATTAGATCTACTCAAATAAACGTTAGAATCATTTGCATCATATTTGCCTGGATTTGTTAAAATATTTACTTGTTTATGATCTCACTAAATGTGACGACTCGCACAGAATGTGTAACACAAGGATTTGGTAACTGTACAAATATTGCTTGAGCCCCCTTGACACTTCCATTTTTGGGGACGCCTGGTAATGACCCCAGGCTCCTCCTGAAGGAAAGGTTGAAGCTCGACCCTATTCATTAATCCTTCCCCACCCCTGCTCGACTTTCTTTACACACTCTGAACAAGTTTTAGCAGTCTTACATTTACCTGACCATGTATTAAATCTTTCAGTATTTGCCTTGGTTTTCTTGAGAAGGCAAATATCGGAATTATTTGATTCTCAATTCGATTTTTTTCGTGTTTCAGTAAATAAATACTATGAACGTTTTTTAATCTCTAGCAGTCTTACATTTACCATGTTTTTAAAATTTTCTTTATTTGCCTTGGTTTTCTTGAGAAGGCAAACTAAACATATATCGGAATTATTTGATTGTCAATTCGATTTTTTTCGTGTTACAAAAATGCTATGAACGTTTATTATTGTTGTTAATGTTAACTTACTACTATTACTACTAACTTACTCGCTCCCCCAGTCATTGAAAGTTTCTGCTCTGAAGAACTTGTGTAGTAAATATTGCAAATAATTACCTCTCTAGTCTAGTTTGTTGTTTAAATGCATTTAAACTTGATACATTTTTTTTTTTATAATTTTATTTTCGTTCATTTGATTTACAAAGACCAAGTTATTGTTGCGATTTTTTTTATTTTTCACCGGAAAATACGAACACCGTTGTTTTCAAATAATACATCCCAGCAACAGAGTAAAAAGAAAAACGAAAAAGAAAAAACAAACAAGATAAAAACATTGGAACACAAATGGCGAAAAATTCAGGTTTGAAAATCTCTATTATTTTCTTTTCTTGTAATATAATTTTGTGATTTTAAATTAAAAATAGTGTATCTGTGTTATTGAAAAAAATAAAATTATACCCAAGCTCAAGAGTAAAAAGTTTTACCGAGTTTATTCTTTCTTATCCTTACTTTTATGATGCGATGGTGTTTCTTTCTTGTACGATTTTATTAATTTTTAGTCGGCGATTTATTTTGTTATTAATCAATTTCATTGTTCTTTTTCACGTTAAAATTCATTTTTTTTCTGATTTTATCTTCGGTTTCTCTTTTCTTACTCTTCATTTCGGAAAAATATTTTTAGTTTTAACAGTTAACTTATTGTGTGCATCAATTCATTAATTTGCAGTTGTTTGTTTTGTAGTTTGGTGGCAAAAATAAAATAAAGAATCTGAATAATTGTTTAGTTTTATCGATGAAATATTTGCATTATAATAAAAATAAAATATACTCGAACTTTAAAAATGTTAGATAGTAAAAAAAATTATAAGGGCAATTCGGTAAATTTGTTTCCATCATGCATGAATTTGACAAAATCTAACAATCATTGTGTTTTTCATTTTATTTTCACTTGTTAACGGTCTGTATACAAATTATCGTTTTTGTTTGATGATCATATTTTAATAAATTGTTATATTTTCAATAGGCATCATTCAAAACTAAGATTCCTTGTGTAATTTCTTTGTTATTTTCGAATTAAGCATGTATTGTAAATTTAATTGACACTCATACGATTCCAGAAATTTTTATTAGATACTTAGCGAGGGGCTTAAAAAGGAGATTAATTACCTCCCACCGATTCTCTATTTTTACCAATATGCAAATTGCAAAGTTAAAAGTAAAATAAAATGCTCAAGAATCAAGATTTTTTAATTTTTTTACAAGAGGGAGAAACAAAAAAATTGTTTTTAAATGTTTGTATTTCTTAACTTACAGAAAAAAAGTATAGCAAGAAAAATACAAAAAAAAGTGTTTGAAAAATGTATACAATATCGACCCACATCTCAACAAGTCTCATCGAATTTTACAGCTTAATCTGGAATACGAATTAAAATTTAATTATTTTTTTTAATGAAATTAATGAACTAATTAAGTCGCGTTTCGAAAAGATATGCGTCTTTCTTCACATTCCAAATTCGATTTGCGTTTTATTTTAATATTGTGATATTGTGCTTTATTGAAAAAAAAAATTTAGGATTTTGGTTAAAAAAAACTTAAAGTACCACCAAAAAAAATGGATGCGTTTTATTTCGAAATGAAACAAAAAAACAATCGCTACCGTTTTTAAAAAATTGCAAAAAAAAAATCAGGTAGTTAAAAACAAAATTTTCAGTAATTATTCAATATTCATTAATGAATGAAAATTGAATGAAAAGTAATTTTTTTTTTTTTTTTTTTTAGAAAACTTTGTGGAACTAGTTTTTTTGGGGGTGTTAGTTTCGCTTCCATTTATTTATTTTTTTTTTCGATATTTCGTGTCTACTTTTATTTTCGTTGGTGTTCAAAATCAAATTGTTTTAAGAATTTTGGTATAAAGAAAAATCCCTGAAAATGCTATTCCACTAAAAAAAAAATACAATAACAAGTGTGAACATACATCCCCAAAAATAATTAAACTAAACTAAAACTAAGCTAATTTTGAGAGTTTGGTGCTTTTAGCTTAGTTTGCATATTTTTTAAATACATTTTTAATTTATTTTCTTTGAGATTGAGTAGAGAGTAGAAAAACTTCTAATTTTCCAGTGCGATTTCGAAATTCCTCCTGCTGTTGCTGTTCGTAAGAGTTGTTTTTAAAAAGGAATGTTTGGTTTGAAGAATTTAAAAAAATGTAAAGTTTTAAAAATAAATTGAATACCATCTTTTTCGAGTGTAATTCATTTTAACAACTAGTTAGAATATTTTTTGTACAGAAATTCAAAAAGGAAGATACTTCTGAATTATCATCTTTGATTACTGTTCCGATAAGGTCATTACTCAATAACTTTAAATTCAGAAAAATTTAAAAAAAAATTCTCATTGGATGCAAATGAATATTTTGTGATATCAAACAGGTAAAGAAGATAATTATAAAAAAAATAAAAGCAATGAATTAAACTCAACAAAAAAAAAAGTGTCATTTCACTAGTTTTTAATTTCTTTTTTTATGCTTCTGATGAATGTAAAAAGTTTCACTCACACAAAGTGTATAGAATAAAAATAAAATAATGTTATACTCTTAAACTATCTTAAACTGTTATATAAGGTTAAAGGTAAATTATTTTTAAAAGATTTTTGCATGGTTTTGAAAGCAGGGAAGAAAGTAGAGAATTACTGTTGTTGACCTATGACATCACAGGCTACAATGCATAAATAAATATTATTTTCATTAAGCATTACCTTTTAAAAAATCCAGTTAATTAATCCTTAAATTTACTAATTTACTTTGAAACACATCTCTAGGATAAATATTGAATTTTAAAGAGATTTAAAAATTTTTGTTTACACATTTTCTCTATGATGGTGGTTTGATGAGTGATGACTGATGAGTATTGATGTGATGAGTAAATATGCCTACAAACTTTATTTACACATGGAAATATATTTTTCTTTTAATACAGATAAGCTTTAGGCTATTAGATTCCAAATAAAACTAAAATTTTAACTTCAAATAAGTTGTTTAAAGTATTTTAAAAAAAAATGTATTTTTCAGATTTTTTTCAGGAGGTACCTAATTATGGTTTTTGGTTTAGGTTTCATGCATGGTTTTTAATGATTAAATAATTTGTAAAAAAAAATGGCCAATAACTATTATTGAAGGAAATAATTCAAAAAATGAACCTCGATCAATTACTGTTGAATTAACAATAATTTGATTCGTAAAAGTCTCTTAAAAATATGTTCAAAAATACTTAGACGAAACATTGCATTTATTTTACCTAGTTTGTTTCTTATTTCTGTTGCTTTTTATTGTAACATACATTATTTTACATGAATAAGCTAGAATTGGAAATCAAGAATAAGTTTCTCCAGTGAGATTTGAACTTGTATCTCATCCTTGGTGGTGCAATGGATAGTTTGCCTTGGTCATGTCCACATGAAAATTCATGTGTGAAGAAGCTTTGAAACTTCTTGTTCAGGTCTACTGTAGTTTTTGGTGTATAAGATGCATATTTTTACTGCAAAATTTAATGTCACAATCTGATTGTTCCTATATACTGATAGTATGAATAATATATATATGTATATAGATATCAAACATATTTGGTTGAATAACATTGAAAAGTTCTATCAAATTTTTTATTATTTTTTTCAAATTTCTGAATTAGTTGTTTTATGTAAATATATATTTACCAAAGTTCATATTTATTTTTTATTATTTTTTTCCCCAAAGTACATTCAAAAATACTTTGTGGGAGGGTGGTGAGGTGGAATAATATACAATAAAAATAAATATGAACTTTGGTAAATATACTGATTACATAAAACAACTAATTTTGAAATTTGAAAAAGTTAATAAAAAATTTGATAAAACTTGTCGATATTATTAAACCAAACACGTTTAAAAGAAATATTGTTGCTGAAACACACACACACACACACACACATATATATATATATATATATATATATATATATATAAGCTTATACACAAGCTTTGTGTAAATATATTTAAATATGCATACATAGTTTACTTCATTTGAATGTGTTATTTATAATGATTGTATGGGTTTCAAATGTGCATTGCACTTGACCGATCAGAACTCTTAATTTAGCATTAGTAATTGTCTCATTGGTATTTCAATGTTCATTGGATACTTAGCATCTGTGCATCAAGTTGGATATATTACTGAAAACTGAAGTATTTTACATTAGGCCTAGGAAGCAAAATAGTTTATTTCAATATATACTAATTTTTTAAGTATCAGATTGAATTTTTCTTAAATAAAAATCTTTCAAATATGACTGTAGCTTCTTTTTTCTCCTAAATTTTTCTTCAAAATTAGGGTGTGTCTTTAGCATGTGATTAACATCAGAAAATTCTGGAGAGTCTGAATCAAATTTAATAGGAGAGGTTTATATGTATGTAATGAAATGGGTGTGTTGTTAATAGGTGTACAATAACATGAGGCTTTTTCATTAATTGACATTACATTTTATTCAACTCTTGACTTTGTCAGTTACTTAACCTAGACTTTGCCAGTCTGTGGTATGCAGCCTCATAGAGCCCTCAACTGAAACATTATACTTACATTCTGTCTGTGATGTGTGTGAGACTGACTCAAATCTCTGTATGTGGTTGTTTATATAACCATGTGTATCACAAATCTTTCCCAGGCCTGCAAAGTGGATGCAGTCCTATGCTTCTGCATTTGGTGGCTGAAACTGACATCAGGTCAACCCTCTGATACACCTGGTTTTGATGGTTTGTAATGTTTATTCTGGCATCATACTGTATGTCTTATACACCGGAGCATCTTACATATAAAAAAACAGTATTTATAAGCAACTTGTAGACATAGGGGAAAGCACAAAATCTATTGCAAAAGAATTTTTGTTATTATTTAAATCAGTTACATCAACACTTGATATTTATGTGACAGAAAGAGAGCACCCCCCAGGTAGGTTTATTAATTAACAGTTCTAAAGGATTGGGATGAAGGTACTAATTAGTTGGGTAGAAGGGATTCCGGAGTAATTCCAAAAATAAGTTTTTCTTTTTTTTAAATTGTTTCTGGGGTTGAGTTATTAGTTAATTAGGTGAATTAATTTCAGAGTGATTAATGGACGGTTTCGTTAAGTAAAGCTTGTGATAAATGGTGAATTGTATTTTGGGTGGTCTGCAGGGCAAAATCCAGCCAAAGTCCTTAGATGAGATAAGTGCTTTTTGCAAGGCTTAAGTAGATGATGTCTGCGGAAAACCCAGTAGGGAATCCAAATTCATTTTTAGTACCACTTGAGAACTGGTTGCCCGCAGAGATTCAGAGATTAGGCAGAAACACATGGTGGTCCAGGCGATTTGCATATTAAAATTCGTGGGCGGTGCCTAAAAATTGTTTAGCTCCGTCCCACTCTATATAAGCTGCCTGCACGCTTGAGTTAAACAGAACGTGGACAGAGAGCGGAGAGAAGCAGTGGAAAACGGCTTGGTGGATTTTGCTGGTCTGGTCTGTTGGTTGTCCTGCGTCAAGAAGACCGATCCGAACCAAGAGATAGAAATAGAACCCGTACGAATCCAGATAACTTTGTCAACAAAGCTGTGAGAAAGCAGACTGCTATATCGTAGAGTGCAGACGAAGATCCACGAATTACCTCCCTTAGATTGGCTGAATTCCTATCAGCATAATAATCGTCTTTCTCTCTGTGACTTTCCAACCCAAACGAGTGAATCTTGTTAAGACACTTTGTATTCGTGCAATTTCTTTGGTAGTGACATAAAAGCAGTAGCCTTAAAAGGATCTTTGTACAGCAACTGAAAGTGTTGCTTATTTTTTATGTCCTTGCAGTTACGACAAAAACCTTTTTCTGCACGAATAGTGATTCCTTTCAGCGTAGAGCCCAGCCATTTCAATCTTTACCATCGAACCATTCTGGAGGATCTGGACACTGCTGTTCGGATCAAAAATTCACAAGTGGCGAATAGTGGTGGTTCCTTCAGCTCACCGGAAGAGGACCGAGTGGTTTTCTTTTAGTGTCTAGAACCACTGGGGAGACAGGACATAGCTTCCGGCGGCAGGGCTTTTACGTTAGATTTAAAGAGAGTCATAGTTAAAAATGTATAGAAACACTTTATAAAAATCTGATCACCACAGTAGCATTTGATGATGGGTCATTCAGAAGCTTGCCTGGTTTCCTTAGTTGTTGCAGCAAATATCAGAGCATGCTCCTAACACTACTTCCTTAAGTATTATGGAATGGTGTTGGTGGCTGAATTGGGGTTAACAGATCCTCTGGTTACCAGGTTTTAATTGTTGGTTTTTAGCCATTTGTTTTTGAAAAATAGAGTTTGTGTCAAAAAATTTCTTCATTTTTCATACCTATAAAAATGTATTAATTTCCTGTTTGATATGTGTAGCTAACTAGTGTTATTGAAAGTTTCAAAAGATTTTATTAGTGTTTTTTTTTTTTTTTTTTTTTAACTGCTGTATTCCATGAGGTTTGTTTGTCTGATATTGTTATCCTTACTGGTTTTATCATTACATTTCAACTGATGCATTCTACAGCCTTCAGTAAGGCAACGTTAAAAAAAAATGACAAACTTGGTGATGTCTAATTTTATAAACACACACACACACAGATCTATATATATATATATATATATATATATATATATATATATATATATATATATAAAAGGTAGTGTGAAGCCAAAAATACTGCCAGTCAGTGGGATACTGAGAGAAAAGACATTTAAGGCAAGCAGTCCTTATAATAAAGTGCTTGATATCAAAGATAGAGCATTAATAGAAATATAAAGTTTTGTGACACCCACCGGTGGTTGCATCGCAGCGCCAATATGTGACATCCTCTGGTCGCGACGCCAATATGTGACACCGCACTGTCGGCCCGTGATCAACTCCCAGTTGCGGCATGAAGCTGTAAGGTTTCTTCCACCAGCGTTTTGGGGTTGACTCTTTGTCGCTGCCACCAGCCTGTGTCTCAGTCGATCTGGTCATTCCCGGTTCAATACCAGCTTTGTCGTTCCCAGCTCACTTCCAACGCCTGGTTACTGAAGTAACTACTTTGATCTCAAGTTTAACCTACCCATGTTGTGACTTTTATCTTAGGTAGACCGAATCAATCAGGTGTTGGGCTGTAGTGCAAGCTGAATCCGGGTACAAGCGTAAGTAAAAGAAGCAATAAAACAAACTCAAGAGGTTCAAATATGTTGAAAAATAACAAATTATCTTTATCCGTCTGTTATATACAGGAGTGTGTTTCTCTCCCAGCCCGTTTCTATGGATTTGTGACACTTTTGCATTTCTTAAGCGAGTTTTGGTATTTTAATTGTTTGTCAATATAACTCGCTTTTTGGTAGGAAGTCGAAGTTGGAAGGGCGTGGAATTTCTCGGTCAGCTTCTACGAGGCAATGGTATCCAACTACAACTGCCTTCAACTGCTAGAACTACTGCTCTGTAACTGATCAAATCTAACTGATCAGCTGCCTCGAGACGTTTGTTTATACGGGCACCAACCAAAACTCGGTGTGGGGCCTGACGTGGTTTGGGTTCCTAGATAATTCTCCATTCCCAACAAGAATTCTCTTTGTTCTTAGGCCAGGAAAATTAATTACTTCCCATTTTTGGAAAATTAATCACTTTCCATTTTGGGGGTTTCTCCCTCATCCGTGAGGGAAGGTTGTAGGAGAGTTATCCCCCTAGACTCTTCCTCTCTTGTATTGATATCTCATACCAATCCCCTCAGTGGGTGTTAACAACTTCCCCGTCTTTCTCATACATTCACCTCTGCCTATCACCTATGCTACCACTTGACCAATGATCTCTTGGCAGTGTGGGTGTGGCTAGACTAGCCCTCTTAAAATTATTGTCCAGGATTTTGTTTACAAAATCCTTTTTTTCCTTTTTTTTCCCTTTGGCCAAAACATTTACAAACCCCAGATTGCCAAATAATTGTTATCACATCTTTCTTTTGGGGACACCCAAAATTCACTTGGTCGGGTCTCTCTACCAACTCATCGATCACTGTCAAAACCCGACATCTGGTTTCTTCTGCTAATTCAACTTTTAGCTGGGAGGTCCGTATTTTAACTGAGAATCAAATTCTTTATTTTTCTCATGCCTTAAAATCCTCTTGTCACCAAATACTCATCAACATCAACAGTTTGAATAAGCAATAATAATACGATTTTCTTCCTCATGCCAGAATTCTAACACACACCAGATGGTTCCCTTTGTTGGACCCAGGAATTAAAATTAAATGATATCTTATCATTTTACAGGAATTGAAATTAAATGATATCTCTGAAAGATAACTAATATCATTTCACTCTGCCTGTACCGCAGTGGTCCCAAGTCGAAAATTTTTTATGGACGCTTGTGTCGGTTGGCTTTGTTTTTCTTTCTGAATTCTGTTTCCCTTGGCGCATCACTCCTTTATTGTGACATTAATCAGTTTTGACAGAATCTCATATCTTGCTTTTTCTTACAGGTTTTCTTTCTCATGCGAAAAGTATCTTTCTCTGTAAATAAAATAAAATCTTCTTTTTTAATGTCGATCAGTCTATCTTTCAATATAGCTCTTTCTCGCCTTAAGCCATTCCAGTTTTTAATTTCTATGGTTAATTAGTTAGCCAATTACCATAGCTAAATAGTGTCACAGTTTGTCATTTAACTGATCAGTGTTACCTTCAGCATCATAGAAGGATCTACGTCAATCACTCGTCAGGGGTATCAGCAATTGACTATCTATCTATCTATCTATCTATCTATCTATCTATCTATATATATGTGTGTCACATAACTTTCATAAAGAATATTTTAGAAATGTCTGAGTTGTGTTAGAATTCTTGGCTATCTTGCTTGCATTCATTTTCTTTTCCCAAGAGTGAAGTTGGTTCTTGTTTCTTTGAAAATATACTCATCATTATCTAATCTTGTGTAGTTATTTTTGACGAAAATCAATAAAATTCTATGGATTTCACAAAAAGGTCTCTGTTATTTGAACCTTTCATTTTAATTAGGCTATTTATTTCATACTAGTTTACCAATGCACAGATGACAGCAGTATTTAAGTAATTGCATTGTTTATATTTTCTACATAAGTAATGTAGGATTTTTATCTAATGTTAACTCTATTGTTACATGTAAAAAAGAATTTAAAAAAAAATCTTGATGATTTAAAAAACAGAATTCTTTCTTACTAGTAAAAATATCCAAAGAAAGGCTAGTATGAAACAAAATAAATAAAAAGCAATGTCTTAGCAACTTGATTTCACTACTTACTAATTAAATATTCTGTTGATTTACTAACACAGTATATTTTGATTTATTGGCATTGAGTAATTTCTGCTGCTACCATAACAATGAAATATTTCATTACAAAATGGAGATCAAGCTGCATGACCAATAAATATATAAAGTCATATTGTGTCTTATAAGAAAAATTGATTCTAGGTGGTTGTCAAATTTACATAAAGGATGACAATGAAATTTTTAACAAATTTGTAATATTTTTTTGTATTTTAGTTGACAGAATCACCCGAGGATTTTTAAGACAGAAAAGTGGAGATTTTGATATAGAATCCATAATAATCCTCGACTTAAATGGATATGGTAAGTTAACAAAAAATTATAATTGAAATAATTAACAATGAAAAAGATTTAAAGATCATGGTTACATTTTTTTTCTTTTCAGACAAAAAAAGAACAGAAAAAATGTGATTCAATCTATTGTAATTATCTTGTGAATACATTTTATCTTGTAATGACTATATTTTAAGGAGAATTTTTTATTTTGAGAGAGAGAGAAAATACTATTTTTAACTTTATTTTTGGTTGGTTGATTCCTTTTCTATGGCTTATCAACACATAAAGCCAGAAAATATTTTTAGATTGTGAGAATTTTTTTTGAGATAATAATGGGCTAGTGATACAAGTCTTACTAATTAACCCATAACTAGGGGAAAAGATGTGGATTCATACCTTTCTCTGCATAAGTGAATATAACAAACCCAATGGGATCTGGAACTTGGCAATCCGATTAACAATTCTAAGCCATTATCCATTACACTACCTGCACATCCAAGCTTTCAACCCCTGGTATTCTTAAGTGGTCACCCATCTAGGTACTGACCAAGCTTGACTTTACTTAACTTTGGTGATTGTATGGAAACAATGTGTGTTTTAATGTGATGTGGCTGTAATCCTATTTTTAACTTAAGTAGCATTATTTTAGAGTTTTCTTTAACTTTGGAAGCCTGGTAAAGTTGATCTTGAAAGCCATTGTTGGTGAGTTTAAGTCTCACTGAATACTCTGCTATTGTTGATTTGTGCCAGACTAGGTTTAGTAAATACCTGTAGTTTGCTTTCATTTGAAATTTACAGAAATGTTTTATATCTTTGAAATTAAAATTTAACAGCAGTATTATCTGTGAACCATTGTCAATTTCTGATGAGTATTTTCTTTCATCTGAATTTTTTAAGTTGCTTTGTATGGGCTCTTTACTCAGGCTGTCAAGCTATGACAGGAAGAGAAAAGAAAGAGTAAGTTCTTGGTAAGACTCAAACTTACATCCCTTTGGCTTTAGGAGAGTCTATTTAAATGCACCAGTTGCTTTAACTGAAACACAAGAACTTTATGGCTAGCTGGAAGATCAGATCTAACCTTTTAAACCTATTCTTCATGTTTCCCTGATCTCTTCTGTTGTCAAATTTGCTTTTACACTTGCAACAAAATTTATTTTATTTATTTCTAAATTTAGACAAAGCATTGTCTTTTATTTTTGCTCCAACTTCTTATGTTTACTGAACAACATTATGGCAATATTATTGTATTTTTATTAGTTCTTCAAAATGAGGCCCACTATAGGAAAGTGGAAATGAGGACTTGGGAAAACCCAAAAAGAGTGAGTCACCTTGTTCTGACTATGCTCAAGCCCATTTATAACGCAAACACTATGAGGGACCTATTCAAAAATGTTAATGTAGATGACCTACTATGCTTAACAAAAGAAGTGGATTCTATACTTCAAAATATGAGGATCTGATAAGACATTTTTGTTCAAGAATTCTTAGTATGAAATATATATATTAATATATATATATATATATATATATATATATATATATATAAATTGATAGAAATGTTCTTGATGGTAATTAATAGATAACATTAAAATTATTTATTCATATAAGACTTGTATAATTAGTTCAGAATTAAAAAATAAATAAAAATAAAATAAAAAATAGTAAAGAGAAGCGACTGACTTTGACAATGAATGATAGTATGGCTTGAAATGTTTTAACCATTAGTTTTATTGAATTAAATATAAAGGAATTAAAGATTTTCATTTCTTTATTTTACTGCACCATTGGCTTGATTAAAATATTCATTACATCATAAAATGCCTGGTAAATGTTCATTTTCCTTATATTTTAAAAAACTTCATTCTGCTTACATTTCATAAATACCTAATTCTATATATATTTTTGTTGATTCCAGTATTTTTTTTTACTGACAGGTATCAAGGAACTTGGTCACATTGAGGAATGCAACAATCTGGAGTTTTTAAACCTGTCAAATAACAACATTACCAACTTGATCCCTTTGGCTTGCTTGGTTCATCTGACATATTTGAACCTCTCGAGCAACAATATAGCTTGCTTGGGTCAGTGCATCTTTCATTTGCTATTTTTTTTGTTTTGTTTTTCTCAAATAATAAACAAAGTAAAAGTAAGAATTTAATACTTTTAATAATCAAGATTTTCATGTATATTACACAAAAATTTGCCTTTAACACACATAATTTGGGGTTTTTATTTTTTTTTCCTCAGCCTGATTTAATTTTTTTTTTTAAGTATTGGCACAATGGTTTCATGATTAAAGCATTGGTTTATAAATTTGGTGATAAAGTAATTGTGAGAAAATGGAAGCAATATTTAATTATTTGCTCTTGGACTAATGTCCTCATTTTTGATGATGTTATCTACTGGTTTTCAATCTGAGTAACCTTTGGAGAATTTCAAACTGAACCCCTTATATAATCCAATAGATAGATTATTCTTGTTCCACTGAATTTGTTGTCATAGTTGTGAGTTCAATCCCCTGGCTGGGTAGTACAGTCTCAGATCCAGTGGAAACAGGATGAGCAACAACTAAGCAGAACTTAAAACAAAAACAAGATATCTCTAGACATGGACAGTGCAATGAGAACAATCTATGCCCATAGATTAAATGACACATTCAGCAGAGGAGGGGCTTATTCAACAAAAAAATCAAAAATTGCTTTTTTTACTGCAAATTATTTATTATATCATATCCAAGTATTTTGCAAAAAATTAGATCTGATTACACAATATTTTAAGCTCATTTTAGGTTTATAGTTCATAACCACGCAATGAGATGAGGTAACAAAAAACTGTAGATTTATCTGCAGAGTATCATTACATTATTGATACATAATTATAGTGAAATCATTCAGGTTTTTTGTCAAAAGCATTTTATTTTTGGTCATATATTAATTTAGAATATTCCTTTTTACAAGTTTTAAATGGAATAAGATCATTCTAAATTTCAGAATTTCGCTATTGCCCATCAAAATGACTGGAAGAAAGCGATCTAAAAACAACAATGAAAAAGAGAGGTAGCAAAGCTTAAACAAAATAGCTCCAGTTTGTTCAACTTAGGAAACTTAGCATTGCAACCAAAGTATTCTAAAATGCTGCCAATAACAAAGGAGAAAATGAAAAATACCTAATAACAAAATGAATATAGCATCAAAATTTATATCTTTATTTATTTGTTATGTAACTAAATGCATAATTGTCAACAATGTTTCCATAAAACTTTGATATTTCCTGTAATAAATTCTTAATAAATATTATTATTGTTATTATTTTACTTAAGTGTAAGGTAATCCTACATTTACAATTTCTCATGGCTAACTAACCATAAAAAGAAATGTTGATCAAAACTGCCTAAAACCTTTAAGCATGTATTGCTGCAAAATTATCAAATGTTGAATACACCCCCTCCTCTGCTGAACGTGTCAAATAAACAATTCAGTATGAAATTCTCAGAAGGTCACCCAGATCAACAGACACCTGAAGAAGGCCAGAAAGCACAACAGCTGAAACATTGTGATAATAACAAAATTATGTAAATAACTCCTTATCCGAGAAATTCAGACTCAAAGAAAGAATACATTGCTTAAAACTTGATAAAAACAATAGATGTTAGGATCTGAATAATTTATCTAAGTTGTGAACAGTGTAAATTTTTCTATTTTTTGTCTCTCTGCACTTAACTGATCATGTCATGCAAAAATGGAAGAGAGTTGCTGTAAATACATAGACATGACTTTGGCTGCTGTGTTTGGGTGTCAGTAATACTTTGTTACTTGGCAAGTGAGGAAGACTATGCTATCTCACGGTGAATGTGATAAGACATTTGAAGGTCACTATTCTTGATATATAACCAGAGGAAAACACTCTTAGGGTGTTTTGTTTGTACTGCTTTGTTCAGTGGATCGGTTGTTTGGTTTTTTATGATTTATCAACCTTTTGCAGGTTATTTTAAGCCAGAAAATATTTTGGCATTGTAAGAATCTTTTGGGAGATAATAATTTTCTGATACAAGTCTTACTATTTAACTCATAGTGGGGAGAAGCTGGATAGATTCATACCTTTCCCAAGGGTATTTGCTTGTAAGTGAATATAACAAACCTGACTGGAATTGGAACTTAGCTCTCCAATTTCTTATTCTGAGCCATTATCCATTACACCACTTGCACATTCAAGTTTACAACACCCAGTTTTCTCAAGTGGTCACCCATCTAGGTACTGACCAGGCTTGATGTTGTTTAACTTCAGTGATTAGGTGAGAACTGGTATTTCAGTATGATATAGCTGTAAGTCTTGTTCAGTGGAAGTGGTGACTAGACTTTTGTGGACAATTCAGCAGAATTGAATTTTTATGCCTCTTCATTCATGGTGAGTTTTGTTTGTAAAGATCTCAAGATTTCTTTTGTTCAACCAGTTTCACTACAGTTTGTAAATGCTGCTGATAATCACTACTAATATATTAGTATGGAAAACAGTTATAGGCATTTGATTGTTCATGAATAAAACAGATATTTTTCTGATATTAAAAAAGAAATTAGTTTTTTTACCCAGTTGCCTTATTGTTTTAAAATTATTAAATAAATATAATCTGCAAAATATATAGTTTTTAGAATAACTATAGGATTTCCACATATACAGATACTACACTCTAATATTAGGTAGAAGTGCTAGGCATAATAATGCCAATGCATAAAAAAAAATGGTAATTAAAGTACTCTTGCAGTAAAGATATCTAAATATATTTAGTTATTTTTCTAAAAAAATAATCTTGAACTTCAAATATATTTGTTAATTTTTTTTTCTTTGTAATCATTAGCGAGGTATTTTAAATTATTAAAGTATTAGTATATCATTTGGAGGTTATGATAAAATGTAGGCATTTGGTTAGTAACCTATTCCACAAATATGTTTACTTTGGTTGCTTATTGGTCTGCTTCTTATTATTATCAGTACAACTATTATACCTGAAGGTGTGCAGCAATATATGTCTTTGAGAGATGATCTCTTCCCCTTTATAATTTATACCAATAAACTCGTGTCAGTGGATTGAAAGCAATGAACATAGCAGAGTATCAGTATCATATTTAACAAATTTGAATGAATAAGAAACATTTGTAAGGTAAAAATAGAAAATATTTAATATCATGAACAATTTGTGTGTATATATATATATATATATATATATATATATATATATATATATATATATATATATATATATATGGATGTTCTCTCCCATCATATTCGACACATGAGGGTCAAGCAGCTCAGTTCCTAGGAACCTACAGCCCAGACACCAGCACATATGATTTGATTATAGTGGTGAAGGCTTTGTGCAGAACCAACCACATTTTTTGAAGGGCCAAATACAGAGACCTGGTGCACTAAGTGCCACAAAGTCCCCAAAACAACCCTCTGCAGGTTTTGAATCCAGAGTTGTCCTTCTCCTAGACCAGTACCCATCTAAGGCTATAGAACCCAGTCTGTCCTGCTATTTACCCATAGCTGGAGGGATAAGAAGAGGATTAATACCTTTCCCAAGGGTATTAGCACGTAAATGAATGTAATGGATTTGACTCGAATTCAACCTCAGCTCTCTGATTCCTCAGTCCAAGCCGCTTATCCACTACTCCACCATACCTCCTATATATATATATATATATATATATATATAATAAATATACATTTTTTCTCACTGGTAGCACAACTTTGAGTTTCATGCATGATGTAATCTTCAGGTGCTGAGTTAAGTTTTTTATCTATCTATATTTATTTATATTTATAGGCATAGTGTGGGTGGGGCCAGAGGAACAATTGCACTGGATGCTAGATTTTTATTGGCTGAAAATATGTACAATACTAGAATTTATAACAGCTCATGACTACAGAGGAGGTGCAATAGTTTAAATTGTCCTAGGCACTCAAAACCCACCTTAAGCCACAAATAAAATTTGTCACTTAGTTGATAGATGTTATATTCAGCATCTCAACTTGGGAGTTTCATCCTTATGACTATAAACAATAAATGCATTTATATTTTAATATATTAATTTAATATGTATTTTTCTATAATTATATTGATGGAAAATAAAATTGCAACCTTCTGAAGGATGATGTCAGTTTTGATTTGGGCATTGTAGGCATATACTAGAGAGTGGTAGATATTCTCTGGCAAAAACTTTCCAAGTCTTTTATGACATAGTAACACTCACACCAGTGCAACTGCTGTGTCTGAACTTTAGATGGTGATGCATGATTTGATATGGTTCAGTGTGGTGAAAAAGTCCAATGCAAGTAGGTGTTATGGCACACATGCTATATTTGTTCAATTAGAGCTACTTGAGAGAGGTTGTATCATGGGCCTTCAGAAAATTACTGCACATATTGGATGTGGTGCTTTAGTGTTGGCAAAAGTGGCTAAATGTTCTGGCTGGCTCCTTAGTACAGATAAGATTGATGTATTGTAAAATAGCAGCCCACACAACATCCACATCATAGCAAATGTGGCCTCCCCCAGGAGTGTCAACCTGGAATATTGGGAATCATTGACTTAGGACTATGGGAACATGTGGTCACTCACCAGACTTTCACTTATGCCACAACACTATTGTGCATTCCTCCAGTGTTGTGCAAATGGATCACTATTGGGATTGACTGGCACTCTGTCATGTTCAGTGATGATAGCGTGTTTTGCTTTTATGCAACTGATGATTGTTTGCATGTATGGTATAGACATCCTCATCACTAGGAAGGAAAAAATTTTTTGCTAACATGGAATACTAAAACAGTATCTTATGATGATTGGAAGTTTAATGTTGTTATGGTGACCTATCTACATTAGAATGAATTCTTCCTCCTTCATAAATACTAATGTAGTGAGAGGCAAATTAGTATAATTTGCATATGAGCAGGTAGCTCATATGATAAATGGACACCAACTAGAACAGAGGTCGAACGCTTACTTAGCAATATACACGACACAACAATGGCGTCGCCAATAGGATACTCTTTGGTCCTTGAAGACCCAGAATACATAGATACGTGGATTCGTTGCTTTGCTGCTAATGCAAGATGTAAAAAGTTGAAAGACAACAAAAACAGAGGAGGGGAAAATGAAATCACCCACTTGTTTATGGCTACCGCTGGTTGTGAAGCGATTATGAAGGTTGCTACAATGGTTTACCCTCGAGAACTAGAAGAAATGACTTTCAAGAAATAAGTCAGGTTATTAAAGGGAAACATGAGGCCAAAGAAAAGACTGGTGATTGCAGAAAGGACCAAGTTTATGGCAATGAAGCAGGAAGTGGATGAACCGATAGTAAAATATTTACACCGGTTAAGAAGTGCGAGTAAATACTGTGAATTCGAAAAACTAGGAACAGGAGAGCAGACAACGGAAGAAGAATTAATCCAACTAAGATTAATTGAAGGTATGCATAATTCAGCACATAGATATAAGTTAATGGAACAGTTAAACTTACAAACATGCCTTTGAATATGTGTATAGAATTTATACAACAGCAGGAATTAATACATACCTACAACCAAAATAAAAATAAATCCTACAAAGAAATAATGGCTGAAACATATACGTTACAAACAAAAAGAAAAAATTGTGCGTACTGTGGAAAAATTCATGAAATGAAAAAAAAAAAATGCCCAACCCTTTGGAAAAACGTGTTCAAAGTGTTTAAAAAAAAATCACTTCAAAGAAGTATGTAAAACGAAAAATGTGGAAAGAGTAGAGGATGAAAATAGACAGATTTTTAATGTAAAAAAGGATAATATACAAAATATTGGATCTAAGAATGGAGATACAAAAATAAAAGTGAAAATTAATGACTGTATTGTCGAAATGCAAATCGACACAGGTAGTGAGGTCACGATAGTACCCAGAAATTTGTGGGAAAAAATGGGAAAACCGTTTTTAAAAAAACCAACGTACAATTACGTCAGTTTGATGGCTCGATTATAGCAATTATGGGTTACTTTGAAGGTTCAATAGAACTAAAAGAAAAATATGAAATAGTACCCATTATAGTTACAAATTGCCGAAAAACGCATGGACTACTGGGGAATGACGTGTTAAAAATAAATTCAACAAAGTTGATTAATGAGATAGAAATAGAAAAAACAGGAAAATTAAAAAATTATGAAGCTAGCCTGCAATTAAAAGAAAATGTTTCCCCCTCTTACTACGAAGTGAGAAAAATACCGGTGCATTTATTACCGTTGGTAATAGCTAAATTACGAAAACTAATAAAGGAAGACTTATTAGAACCTGCCCTCCAGGAGGAAGTAAATGGGCATCACCCATTGTGGTATTGAAAAAAAAGATGGTGACCTGAGAATTTGTGGAGATTATAAAATAGGGGTGAACCATAAAGTTTGTGCTGACTAAAACCCTATTCCGAATGTGGAAGTAGCTTTACATAAACTTGCTGGAATGAAAGTATTTTCAAAGATAGACCTAAAATCAGCTTACCACCAAATACCGATAAATGAAAATTTTAAAGAAGTGACGACCATAAACACACCTATAGGCCTGTTAAGGTGGAAAAGAATGCCATATGGCATAAAAAGCGGCAAGTGCAATTTTTCAAAAGCTATTGAAAAAAGTAATAGGAAATGTTGAAAATACCATCTGTTATCAAGACGATATATGTGTTGGAGATTTAAATGAAGATGATTTAAAGAAAAAAACTGAAAATATACTGAACCGGCTAAGAGACGCTGGTATGACAATAAATACAAAAAAGTGTGTAACCAACAGTAATGAAATATCATTTTAGGTTACTCAATATCAAAGGAAGGATCTCTCCAGATAAAGTACTAATAGAGAAAATTCTAAAAGTTGCTACACCGAAAAATAAAAAAGAGTTGGAGTCCTTCTTAGGTTTGGTAAATTTTTATAGAAAATATGTACCAAAATATAATGAGTTGACAGAACCATTTGCTAAGTTAAGAAAAAAAAATGTGGAATTCATTTGGTTAGAACACTAACAGAAAGCCTTTGAAAACTTAAAACAGATTCTGGCAAAAAAGCCAATAGTACAAATTTTTGACCCTAAGAAGGACATAACTCTAACTACTGACGCTTATTCGAATATAGAAAGGGAGGCACTAGCCATAGTGTGGACACCGGATAGAGCGAGACAGTTTTTGATGGGAAAAAAATTCTTGTTGAAAAGTGATCACAGACCACTGGAATTTATTTTCAACCCAAGAAAAGAGCTACCGAAAGTTACAACATCCAGAATATTACGTTGGGCGATTAGACTGATG